AAGCTTTCAGTTAATTATACATCTAATTAAAAAGAAAATTCTTTCCTTTTTAAGATGAATGATCTGCTTGCACCCTAAATAAAGAAACTTTTTTCATTTCTTTATACATCAGTTGGAATAGTTTCCCAATCCTGCTCTGAAATCATTGAATGGCTCATTATAGACCTTTGCAGGCTGAAATGATGACCAGATGAGAAGGTAGTTTAACTTTTAGAATCAGGTGTTAGGAGCAAGAGAAACATCCTAAGCATGCCAAAACTGTATAAAGAGACTTCTGTTCTTTAATATTTTCTTGCTTCTGAACAGTTTGATCCAAAGGTGTTTTTGTTGGTTTGTTTTGTTTTACCTTGAAAGGTTCTGTTAAAGCTTCAACATAGGTATAAATTAAAAATTAGCATGTTGAGCTAGAATGACAGACAAATAAGAATCAAAAAAATTTTTGTGCATTAGTATTTGGTCTCCCAGCTTCTCGTCTAAGTCTCTAAAAAATTTTCAAATGTGCACACATTTTACAAGGTGCTCTTAGACAGCATCTATATATGTTAGGTTATTTAAGCATTTTGATAGTTACTGTTTATGCAATTAGCTTTTTTCCAAAGTGACTTAAAAAGTAAGGATAAGTGTGAAGGGTTTTGCCTAAGGACCCATACTGGCAGCTCATCCCCCCCACAGCGGGGGAGTCAAACCCAGGGATTCCTGTGTGTGAGTCGGGGTGATTTAGCAATTGAACTAGCCAGCCGCACTCATAGCTTTGATCTTGATATTTTTAATTGTAAAACATGCTTTGAGCTAAACCTTCCATTTGTAGCTCTGAATGTATGTTTACGTCAATTGTCCAGCTGGATGATGACTCTTCACCACAGTCTCGAGTCTCTTTAAATTCCTTAAATTTCCCTTTTTGATGCTGCTCCCTCCTTCCTCACCTTGGGAATATTTGGTCTAAAGGTAACATACTGTTAGTTTTCCTTGTATGATAGTCTGAATGTAGGCTGAAAAGTGGAATTTGAGCGCGTTCATATCTATAGCAAGACCTCTTTTCAGAACAGAACTCTCCTTCCCATGGTAGATTTAGAGTCTTTTTGCAATCCAAAGTCAACTTCCTTGTTTGTGTACACTTGACTAACAAAAGAAATTTGAGTTGTCCAAAACGGAAGATAATGTTTTGGAACTCTACGCTCCTTTAAACTTCTTCTTTGCCTCAAACCTATTTGCAGCATTCCTTCACGATGCTGTTTGTTTGATGTTTTCTACCAAACCTCTGAGGCCATCATAAAACAGCCGCTTTCCTACTGAGGTTCAATGATGAGTTAATTTAAGGGTTGTAAATCTGCAGGAAAAAAATGTATGGCACACTTTTTGCATTCTTATCTATAACATCCTTTTCCTCCGACTTCATAATTATGCATGACTTTGCCCTGTCACATAAAATCTGCATGAATTACATCATTGTTTGTAATAAACTCCAACAACACCTGTTCAGCCTTTTCTAGAAACAGTTTTGAAAAATACAGCTTCCCAGTGCAAGACCTGTTTTTTTATGAGCTACTCTGCGCAGATAAACACTTTTGGAAATATTTTCCACTCTGTAAAAGATGTTTTTTTATTGTTTAAAGTTACAAATCGTGAATATTTAAACACGTAACTCTATCAAACTCTCACTCTTCTGTTTGTGTATCTGTTTGAACAGCAGATGCTCCAGCTCCTCTGCTCTCATACATCATCCTCCTCACCAAGCCCAAAGCAACCCCATGAACACAAAGATAACAAAACTCTCTTGATCCCACAGGCAATTCATCCCCCACTGACCCACTTGTTTTCACAATCTGACAAGTGTGATTTAAGAACTGCACTCTGCACGCAATGTAGCGGCCATGTCTGACTGCATTTACCTGCTTCAGGGAGCTTAAAGTTGGCCACATCATCCCTTTTACACGTACTACTCCCCCATCATCAAACTAAGATAAATCCATGAATTTAAATCAAATGCCCAAAGGTTTTGGTTCACTCTGGGTAACTTTCCTAATTCCTTTTTTTGATGAATAGTTTTGTTTGTTGTACCAAGTTTATACAAAGCGGAAGCTGCTGTGCAGGACCAATGCATGGCTTAGATCTTGTAGTAAAACCACATCTTTACCTGAACACTTTGCCGTTTAAAACAAAGCTCCTCCTGAACTAATTCAAATCAAGCTGTATATTATTCTGTCCATTTCAAATGTCATTGATGCAGTTTTTTTAAGCACAGTTTTCCAAAAGAGTCAAATGCGGCTGTTTCTATGTGATTATATAATAGAGTATTCATCAGCACAGTCATTTACACTGTCTAATTTTAAAAAGATTTTGAAGTGGATCATTCACTGACATGTTAAAGTAGCTTTTCGCAGCCATAGAGGTCCTGGCACAGCAGTGGGGCGTGGGAGGCGTCCAACTAATGTGTTTTTCTACCCCCCAAAAAAATAAAAAAATCTTGTTTTAATCCATCAACGGGTGTGTCACTTTTCAAGTGGGTGCTAATGCTTCTCGGCCACGCTCGCCACAAAAGGAAAAGAGTCTAGATTGAGCTGAGAAAGAGCCATAACTGTGAGACGCCGGTAAATACATACTACTTTCTGTACAAGGGTATATTTTATCCTGAGGGGGGGATTAGGGTAATTTTAAGATAATGTTGCCAAAATTTATTTCAAGTTTCCACCTAAATTTTTTCTGCCTAAAAGTAAACTATCTAATGTTTGGCTATTGCTTAATTTAAACTTTATTAAGCTGTAACAAATCCTGAAGATCAACAGATAGAAGTAATTTAAGGAAGGTGCCCCGTGTTGAAGCAGTTGAGCGAGCACCCCATATATCTTGATGCTATTAGATCTCAAAGCAGCCATTTATGATACATCATTGGATATTTACTGTGTATCTTCCACACTTGTGTTTTCTGCTTGCTGTACATACCCTCGATAACCCGTGCAACACCCTAATAAAATACTATTTAAAACTATGCAGAGATGTTTTTTTAATCACAAAAAACATTTTCTGTTGTACTTTTTCAGAGAGAATAGCATGGGGCGTTATTGAAGCAATACTGCATATAAATTAGGAACATACAGTAACTTAGTGCATATGATGCAAAACAGATTTTCATTACAATCATAGACACTATGCTTAATAGAATTGCCATTTTAAAGGTCATACTGTATGCACGTAAAACTGTGGAAACGCAAATATCTCGTTCACTGTCGTATGTGTTTCAAACAGAAACACATTTAGGTCATTTCAATCTCGCCGGACCATCAGTTTTTAATCCTGATGAAGATCCAAGTAAACTACTGTAAGCCAATCTGTTTACCATTCCAGACGGTGCAGAGTCTTTCCATCTGTGCATATTTTCAATCACAGTGGTGCTGCATGGGGTTAAGCATGACCATGAACAGAGGCTTTGGTCCTGAAAGTGGGTAGTCACAGTTTCACGTCCTGGCCTGATGACCTTTGCTGCATGACTTCTCCCTTTCTATGATCCCATTTCGTGTTTGCCTACCTTCAAAAATAAAATAAAATGCATGTACTCGTACTTGACCAATCTTAATATGTAACCTCACCACTTTTTAGCATCTGGACCCAAACTATTACCCTTAAATGAAAGGAAATCAGTCAGGATGTTCAGGAGCAGCCTATAAAGATCAAGAAATTAGTCTCTCATAAACTATAAGCTGCTGGAACCAAAGTTGCAAACTAAAATAAACTAAGGGTGTTGTGCAAGAGAACAAAAAACCCTGTGCTTTAAAGTACAACAAAATTTGCAGCTGCAGACATGGAGCTTAATGCTTTTGTAAGAAAGGTTTTATGTTCAGAAGAGATAAATAGTACGCTTGATTGGCCGCAATGTTTGAAAAATCCAGTGTGAACATGGCACCATCTGTGAAGTATGGTAATGACAGCATCATGCTGTGGGACTGTTTTACTATAACTCTTACTGTTGTATTGCACAAAATCTATGCAGTGATGGAGAAGGATGACTGACAAAAAATGCATCAGCCTCAATTTAAATCATCAGCTGGTTAAGGTTTGGGTTTCCCAACATGATAATTGAGTTTTAACTTTTAAAATACGATTTTAGCAAACATGACGTTTTACGACTAGTTCAGCTGTAGTAAAAAACTACATTAATTACAAATGTCAGGAAGAAATTCATTATGTGGTTCCTGCGTATCTTGTTCATACAGCTAGCACCGATCGCTCTACATTTGCCTCCATGGCATGGAGATTGTTATCAGACTTTCGACAGCTTCGCCCGACCAGAGAACAAATCTGCATATTATAGATCAAGGGCAGAGTACAGAGAGAGCAGCCAGCCACTTGTGATAATAATCACTTCCCCTTTTTTTTTCTTTGTGACAGATGGAAACAAACAAGATCTCCATCAGTGCTTTATGCTGTAGTTCCCTACTCTCTTGTTTTTTTTTCCTCTGATCAGTTTCTGGTGATTAAGGTGAAGGTGAACAGTCAGTTTCCAGATATCAGCTCTCTGATTTGCATAGATATGCAAATGCACCTGGTGACAATTGAGCTGCTGAGACAGGTGATATCAATTGTACCCGTGTGAGCTTGCACTATGTGTGAAGCCAGCCAACGGCAACTAGGTCATAGTTTTCACTGCGTGTGTCCCTCCCCTGATGGATGAGTACTGTATTCACAGTTTATGCTGCCTGCCTCAGGTTATTTATGACGGCGCACACAGTCTGCAGATGTCACAGGTTATATTGACCTTTTTACAAACTCTGATTTGGCCACTCTTAACTTAACTTTTCTGTTTGTTGTTCTTTCTCTGAGCTGCAGACTTAAGTTTTCTATCTAACTTAATGCATTAAATCTCTCAGAGATGTTCTGAAAACAAACTTAAGCCTCAGCTTTGCAGTGTGTTGTGCTTACATTACAAGCGGTTGGTTTACTCATGCGTGACTGCACTGTGAAAACACTCTATCTTAACCAAGTTTTGCTCTTCCTCTTTATTCCAGCTTCCTCACTTGGCCCAAACATCACCCTGGAGGGACAGTACCACTGTTACCAGGGCCCAGCAATCCCTCTGGACAAACTCTGTGACTTCAGTGCAGACTGTCCACGCAGAGACGATGAAGGAAACCTCTGCCGTGAGTAGAGTGACAATTTAATAACATGATGAGCATGAAACCACCAGATGACCATGCAAACACCATATTGACCATTTTACCCATTGGTTTTTGTCAGTTTTTACAAGGTGGACAAAATTTCCAACAGCATTATTCGAAACTAGTGATCTTTGCTTTTTTCTTCAGCATGTTTCAGTGTTTCCATCTTTTACAACTTCAAATCTGTTTTATCAGATCAGTTTTACAGTATCTTCATCTTAACGATCTACAAGACTCCCTAAATAATCCACCTTTTATGAGTCATTTATTTTTAGTACAGCTTTATATTCCAAATGCCTCTGGAAAAAAAAAAAGTCTCTGTTTTATTCGTTTTCATAAATCTTATTATTGCTCAGGCTTTGTTTTAACAGCCAGCCATGGAAAAGATATTAAGGTGTTTTTTACATCCTTAACATTTGAGAAATTTTAACAACATGACTGTTTATAAAGGCATCTTTAAAGTCATGCCACTGGATTTCAAACAGATTATGTGTAGTAAAATGTTGATTGATCATTTAAGTCATTCAGAAGTAGATTTAAAGTCGTGCTTTTCAAGGTCACAGATTCACAGAGGAATATTTGTACATATCTAACTGTTTAATTTCTATATCCACAGATACAGTAGGGCAGCTTCAGACTTAGTTTTTTGCGCAAAACATCTTGCGGGCACAGCTGATTGGTGGCAGGATAACTACACCTAGTCTTTAATTGTTTAAACCAAAATAAATCAAATTCTAGTGAAGCAGACATTTAAAATTAAAGAAAAAAGATGTATCTAAAACATTTAAATAGATGTTGACATAAATATTTTTTGAAAGGGAAAATCTTGGACAAGGGATGGATGCTTCTGTATGTACTGTACCTCCTCTTTCTTCTCTGATGTCCACTGATCAGGTTGCATAGTGGTGAATCACCTGTAATGAAACCGTCCCACCCTGCACAGCAACAACTGACAATCTTCCTGAACTATGCAGACAGAAACACAGGGAGAAAAGCCCAAAATAAGGGCGCCGAAGATATGCTTGGCTGGCCTTTCTCACCCTTGACATATTCCACGGTTGTTATTTCTATATCTTTGCACATTTGTTTTCTGCTTTTCTCAGGGCTTAGGAGCAACGCTAGCCAACTATGCTGACATCTCATTCACAAGTCCCCTAGGCCGAGTGCTCTTTGTGTGTGTCTGCTTGTGCGTAACTTGAACCTCTTTTTAGCACCGTCTCTGAAGCTTTAGGTTGTCTCTCTGATTAGTGTGCAAATTGCTCTGAAATCTCATCCATACCATTAAATACAATAAATCTAGCAAATTTTTGGATTAATTCTGTTTTTTTTAGCCATAAATAAGTGACCAGAATTAATATTCCTCTCCCCACAATGCAGGTCACCTTCCCCATGTGCTGCTTATTAAAATGATGTCCGCTCCCGTGTGTGCGTAGGTTTGCTCAAAATGGGAGCTGGGAGATAAGAGGGTAACGATAGGGTGAAAATCCCAGCCAGGCACAGCTTCCCATTCTGCTGCGATAGGATTTATTAGCGCTAATTGGCTTGAGAGGCAAACCCAAGGGTGCAATCACTTTTTCAATGTAAGAAGTGTATGTGTGTAAAACATTCAGATGTGAGAGGGCCAACATGCTTGTTTAGGAATACCTTAGTGTCTGTGTGACATTAAAATCAGATGTTATGCCTCAAAGAACATATTTTGGTTCAGATATTTTTGTTTGAACGAGGTTCCCTAATGTTTAAGAATATGTTCCATATTGGTCAGAGTCATCATTTTCTCTGTCCTCTTTAACCACTTTTAAATGATCAACTAAAAGTTCACTTTTCAGGCTTCAATGAGGGAAAGAGAGAGAAAAACACTTTATGTTTATGAAGTGAAAAAGACCATATATGTCTAAAGTAATAAAAAAAGCATTGAAAGCATTATAAATTGAGAAAGATTCATCTACATTTATTCAATAAACTTATATCAAATAATTAAATGTTTTATAAGTAAAGTAAAGGCGCCATCACTATTATTGTAGTGTGTATTTTGAAGGGCAGATGAGAGTATTTAGTTCTTCTTATTAAAGTCTGGTGATTCAAAAGTTTCATTAAATAGACAGGTGCTAATATCGTGCTCTTTAGACAAAAGATACAGTTCTAATTTATATTTGCTCCCAAACAAGACATATGAGTGCAGCCTGAGGTGATAAATCCTCATCTTTTCTTACTCTCTTTTTGTCCTTTTTTTTTTTTTATTTTGTCTAATACATTGAAAAAAGATAGAGCCAGGCCAAGGATAAGAGTACGATGGCCTGGTCTTGAAAAATTTTGAATCATAAGCAATACATACAGATGCATGCGGGTGATTTACCGTAGCTGTAAAGAAAAGGGACTTCATCAAGATTTATATTCTGTTTTCTTTAACATTGAGAAGGTTTGAGACTAAACAGGTTTTTGTATCTTCTAAGCTATAAAAAAAAAAAAAAAAAACCCGCAGTGATTCTTCACATCATTTTGTTTTTTGGAAGGGATAAAAATAATAAATAATAATAAAAAAATCTAATCAGAATAGAAACAAAATAAATTATTATGTTAAACACTGTGTAATGTTTAGCCCCTGGGTGAAGCTAGCGATGGATCCGACCCTATCAAGCCCACATGGAGCATCATTATGCATCGTATGCTATAAATTGTCCAAAAAAAGTATTTAATAATAGCCCAAATTAGGTTAAAACTTAGGTCAAAATGTACTCACTGTTGCTTTAAGTAATGGTAGAACCCAGGGGAAACATTCATAGAACATATTGGGGCCAAGGACTCGTCCTTGAGGAATTCCAGAGGGGCTAAAGCCAAAGAATATCCATTCATCTTGACAAAGAAACAACTGTCTGGAATATGTCCGGAATTAAAAAGAGGCAGAAAGCTTTAGTTACATCAGCTGTTTAAGTCTTATTAAGAGAATAATTCATCCCGCCAAGTACATACATCTAAAGGCCCATTAGTTTAAACTATATAATTAATATTGTTTTCTTCTGGTTGTGCATTATATTTATTAAACCTAAAATAGAGAATGTTATAAATCATGTTTTTATTCCAAGAAATCTAGACATGAATAGATGGGTAGAGCGTGGAATGATAATTAGATAATAGGATTGGAAATAAAATTATTTTACTTATTTTACTGAAAAATCTTAAATTAGCAGAAAAAGTATTTGGTGTTGACTGAGAAATGTCAGGGTTCTGTTACCTGGGTTTGCTTAAATGATTCTTAGGCACAAACACCAGCTGTTAACTCTCCCTGAAGCTCTTCTTAAGAAAAACAACCTTAATCCTCATTTCATTAAAATCAAGGACCAATAATGCATGCATGAATGATTAGACCACCTTTATACTTTCAGATGTGTCTTTTGCTTTGCAATACACAGTCTACATCTGTACCTGCAGCTCTGTAATTCATTCCTCCTTCATCAGTCACCCATCCCGATTACCCCCTGGCACTCGTATCACAAAGCATCTCCTCTCTGATACCCTATTCTCTATGATCTATCCACCAGTTATCTGCATCTGATTTGATCTATTTAAATCCTTTATAAGCTCTGCCAAGGCTCATTAATGGGAAAAAGCAGAAAGAGGCAGGAGGAACAAGCTCAGCTGGTGTCAATCACAAAGATTCCCGACATATAAGGAAACTCGAGTCCCTGCGGATGATCCTTCACCATCCTACGAACGCTTCATTATGCACAAACACATCCTCCACTCTCTGAGAGCTGCTGCTTCCTCTGCTTCATCTCAGCCTGGCTAAATTTTGCAGACACCCCACTGCCTTTGAGCTACACATTTGCCCTGCAACAAATTGAAAATGGTGCCTTGCTTCAAAGCGGAAAAGGCTGTAATTTAAGGGATGTGTGAGGATTTATTTAATTGGGAAGTATCTTTGCAAAGTAAGATTTTCCCAAGGTACCATGTACCAAAAATACAGTATGAGAGAAGAACGGTTACATTTCTGTTTCAATCTGTTGTTAGGTTATTTTATCATAGCTTTGACTGTTTTCCATTTTAAATTTTTTTTTATCCAATCGTTCATGATACTATTAACCACATTGATCAACCTATGTCTTATCATTCTATATATATAT